TATTAGGTTATAGCCAGTAACTTATAAATATATATTTTTTTAAGAAAACGACGCAAATCGTTTCTGTTTCATATCATTGTGTAATTTACGACTTGTTTACATTGGCTAGATAATATTTAGGAATAATTAACACCGTTCTGTATATATAGGTTTTTTTATTAGCTATAAAAAGCAATAAAAATATCAATTAAACTAGTGGCAAACTAATGTAACAAATAAACATATGAAATTAGTAATCTTACAACAAGTAGATCATTTGAGAGCCTCGGTGGTTTAACGATTTAGCACACCTATTTACTTCGGATAGTCGCGGTTTCGATTTCTCGAACGGTACATACATTTGTATTCATAAGTATGACAAAGTTGTCTAGTATCCTTTTTTTCGGACTACTCTAATGCTGTTGGCGCAGCTGGCCTTTACAGCTTCACTGGAAAGATAGAGGCCGAGTGCAGATGGCACTCCAAACCCGCGGAAGGACTTATGGAGCGGCTGAAGGCCAACTTCCGCCTGACGGATACGACTTTAGTCTGAGGGTACCGCTAGGGGTTCGAACCTCGATTCAGGTCGTCGTAATTTTGATACCCGTTTGAATGTGATGGGGGATCGATCGGACGTAACAATCTCTGCTTAGCTAGGGACTACAAGATGCCGCTGTGTGGATTGTCCAGTATCATTATTATTACATATCATTCATGTACATACTTACATACATGATGTCAGCATATCTATCGTTTTATGTATGTTATCTATACGTATATAGATATAATGTATTGAATAGATAAGTACATAATAGTTAAAAACTACTAGTGATCCACCTCGGTAATGCGCCGTTATATTATTTATATAATGTAGGTAAATCGTAAAACTATATTCATAAGTTGCACATACATATTTTCTCTATGTATGAACTATACATATAGACCTTTTGTAAGAAATTCTCAAACCGATAGTGAAAATCGTATGAAAATACTTTATGTGGTTTAGAAGAAATAAGCGTACAAACAGACATGCAAAAACAATGACTCCTTTATATTAATAACAGGTACATACTAGCAACTTTTATTAGCGATGTAAAATCGTCCAGTCTCACCTGTTTCAGCCGCCAATCAGCATGCTTTATTAGATGTGTTTCGGTTGAAGGGATAAGGTAGTGAAAATGCAGGATAAGAGGATATGGAGATGATTTCAATTAGTAATATGTACATACTAGCAATTTTTATTAGCGATGTAAAATCATCCGCGTGGGTATCTCAGTCTAAACTATTTCAGAAGCCAATCAGCTTACTTTGTGAGATGTGTTAGTGTGGAGATGGTTGGAGCCTAGAGATGAAACTCTTCGCCCTAGCATCAACACCTGTGGCACCATTTTTTTGTTTTAATTTTTTTTTAATTTATTTTCTTTGTTATATATTTTTTTCTCCGTTTTTCAACAGCATTGTGTATTAGCGATTCCATAGCTACTTAAAGTTGCAACGATTCGGGAATAGCTTGGTTGAGATTTAATAAGTAACGTATTACAACAGATACAGCAATAATACTATGTAATATAGATAATATAATATTATTGTCTATATTACATAGTATTACGTATATATGTATGTAGAGTAGCGTGCAGTTGCGGTATCGAGCAACTAAATTGGCGATGGCTGATACTAAAAGTATTGCGTGTGCTCCGTCCTATCGGCTTTGTGAAACAATGTTCATTACTAATTGTAGAAAATGCCTAAAACCTGAATCGCGCTAACATTTTTTTTTATAATTCTGTATAAATACAACGATTGTACTAATCCTATCGGTCTCTTCTGAGACTCGCTGATTATCGACTCACTATTGCGTTCCAATACGTGTGGTCGGGGTCAGTGTTTACACCGGATACCGCGAAATTAGGCAAGATAATTAACTGGACTAGTTGGGTGTTCGATGGAATCATTTGACTTCACCCTTGTGATTGGGAGAATATCGTATCAGTGGTTGTAACCCCCTATGGAGGGGTTAAAGACATATCTTCGATTTAAGGGGGGATATGTATTTCGATGCAGTGATCTTTGGAGAGATCCATATGATTTGCTTACTTTGAATATGCCATCGACCATTTCTCTTAGGGTTCTTGTGGACATTTCATAGTGGGTACTTTGGTGGGGAGAACGTTCTCGAGCTCAGGTACTGAGGAAAGTATATTACGCGAGAGAGAGTACATCGAAACTAGTGATATGCATTCCTGGTAATCTGGTTCCAGAACGCTGTTCCCGCTACCAGTATGATGGCAGAATCCTGAGTGAAATTGTTGATGGCATGTTCAAAGTGTCCAAATATTAATTATCTTCCTGGGAAACGTAAGCTTCCAGAGGGTGGAAGGATGCGGGGAAACCATACTCCGTGTCTTCCGCGCCTGGGAAGCATACGTTTCTTTTATTACTTAAATAAAAAAACGTGATCAGAGAATAATGTAACTGTTGTAACTGTAACTGTTTCTCTAATTTTCCAGCCCGAAAGGGATATGGCGTGAACATAGATAGATGATAATAAGCAATTAATTTATATTATTTTAATTTATATTCCTTAACATACATATATGTATGTATATTTAAAAACAATGTCATATTTATTAATTTTTAAAAGTTATACATGTACTCGTTAATGTTCTCCTATCTGTTAGAGGGTGAGAAGCTGGTGACCTGTAACATAGGATAAACGTACCTAGCTTAGGGCCCAACTATCACAAATGTACTATACATACTTACCTGAATTTTATTTATATTTGTGTTTTGTACGAGAGTAAACAAAAACACACAATACTATTATTACAATACGAGTGGTTTCTATACTCTCTCGTGCAAAACTTCTACACGGATTGTAACAAAATTTAGTACACTGATAGATCGTATTCTAGAGTGTGAGGTAATCCGCTGTATGTAGTTAGTGCTGGAATAATACTGGTGTAACTAGCAGCTTGTCCATCATTCATTTTAGAAACTTTATATTTTTGGTATCTGTTTTATATATCACTATCCTTTGACTACATTTCTTCTTCCCTGAGAGCCCTTTTGGGAAATATACACATTTATTACTATTTATAAACATTTATATATTATTCAGATTTTTAATGAAATAGTCATTGTGTTCTCGTTCCAGCCACAACTAGAAATTCCACGCGTCAAGATAAGGTAACGGGCCGTACACAGCAGCCTCCAAACTTTTGCAGTGAAACTTTGAACATAACAACACTTTACAGAATTGTATATAGAATAGAATGAGATAACTCTTATATCCATACTTAGGTATCCATAAAAAAACACAAAAAATTTCAGTCATCTCAAGCTGGTCACATTTTATTAGTTCAAATTGCTGATGAAATGTTACAAAATCATAAAACCCTCCTAGGATTTCTAGATTTTTTGGATTTTGAGACTCCTCCGATCAATTGTTATGTTGAATATATTACCAGTGACGTAGGTAACTTAGGGATGAACCCTTATATAAAACAATATGAAAAATATTTCCATTATCGCATTACTTTTTCCCAGATTGTCTTTGGCAAATGCACCAATGTTCCGAGCATAAAAAAAAGCTCCGAGCTAAAAATAAAACAGGATCAACTCATCAGGATCAGGAGAACAGGATCTTGCATGCTTGCACGTCAATTTAAGAACACTTCGTTATTGAGAGTATATAAAAAAATATTTACATTAGAGAAATAAATATTTTGTTGTAAAACGAATTGACAAAAATTAATTGAAAATGTTATTATACTGAAATTTTAAAAAAGGTTTTACGTTTTTGTTTGCCTTTCAAATGGGTCGATAGTCAATACATATACATAAAATTGGAGTGTCTGTTTGTAATATTGAAATAACCATTACTAAATGTATATTAATATAGATATGGAACATACACCAAAATTACATTTTTTACAATTTTTGTCTATTTGTTTGTTCCGGCTAATCTCTGAAATGGCTGGACCGATTTTGACGGGACTTTTTTTGGCAGGTAGCTGTTTTAATAAGGAGTAACTCAGGCTACTTTTATTGTTTTATAATAAAGTTAAATACCACGCGGACGAAGTCGCGGGAACAACTAGTAAAAAATAAATTCATACCAGTTTATTATTTATGCGTGTGGCATGAATGTGTCTATTACATTTTAAAGGTATTTAAATTATAATGTAATAATTAAATTACCTTTATTTTATAATAAAAATGTTTTTATTGTAAATTGAAATATTAATTGTTTTCCACAAAACAGAGAACTGTTGTTTATATACTCTATGGCTTCTTTACATATGTATAATATTATGAAGTGTCATAATAAGACATTACATTCGGTACCTTTGTTTAATAAATACGTAAATTGTATAAATTAAATAAAAATATTTCCCATTGTCATTTAAAATTATTTTTAAATAATGATTCGCCTTGATTTTGCAAGTATTAATTTATGGTACGGATCTATTTTTTTTTAAATAATTTCCGTGTTACTTACAAATAACGTAGCTTTGTATATTGCTATACTCATTACAAATAAAGAAAAACAATTTATATTGTAACTTAGATTTAAATAAGAAATGATAGGTGCTCATTTCTTATTTAAATCTAAGTTGAATCTTAATAGATTACCTTACCTTACCTTACATACACAAGTACGAAACTTTTTGTTAGGAGCCTTGGCCGGTTTTTTGTAAAATTAGAAATCCAACCTTCAGGAATACCACTCCAACTTGTAACACACAATACCAAGAATCCGTCAATAATTAGTTTTACACTGTAGAAAGAGCCCACATATTTTTTTTCACCATTGACCTGCTTTTCGACTAAGTTACGGAAACTTTTTCGTTCGACGCGTCATCGTATCCGAACACGTCATAGACAACGGCATTCATATTTCGAACGGCTTTCCCGCCCTCGCTAAAGCGTGATCCTAATGAAAATTCAGATATGACGAAGTATTTTTTTCTGAGCTTCACTTCAGATCAGTAGACGCGCTACCAGCGTCTTGTTCGCACGTGTTTTCTGTATTGGACGCGTTCAAAGTTTCTCGCGCACGTTACCACGGAGTGTAAATATATTTACGATTGTGTTTTTCGGTGTCTAAATATTTTTATTGTGTGCTCATATGTGATTTGTTATAATAGAAGTGGCGGCAGATTTGTTTCTCGCAGTAAGTGTTTTATTATCTTTATTTTCACACTGACTTTTATAATAAAATATAATTAATTATTTAGCAAAGAAACAACTTCCTCTTGATATTTGTTTAATTTTCAATTTTTTTTATTGAATAATAATTTATTAAAACAATGCAAAATTGTTTATTTTTATGCGACCAAAAACGAAAACAGTTTTATTTTTAAAGAAAATAGCGAAATAAGTGACGGATAAAAAAATAAAATGTATAAGATAAAATTTACAAAATTGCAATAAAATTATTAATTTAAACAAAAAAAAAATTACTTTACCTATATTAGTTAAAAACTTTTGTGTAAATTTATCAATTAATAGAGAAACTATTTATTTTTTGTTATTAATAACATTTTCACCTACATATAATATTAATTTTTTTTTAACAAAAATACGTATTATTTCTTAAACCTTGGACGCTCTGTAAATAGCGGTATGGACGAATTTAGTTTTTAAAATGTTTTTTAGTTTAAATATTTATTTCTAATACTCACTTCATATGAATTCACTATATTTCGATTTATATAAAACAATTTTCTTCGTTATATTCAATAAATACTATTTCTTATATTTAAAACTACACATTTAAAACATATATTCTAAAACAGAATATACCCGAAAAATATTTGCTGATGAACTAGTGCTGCCTCCTGGTCTGCCCTGATCAGTATGACTGATTGAAAAAATGGTAGATAAAAAAATGAAACGATATAGAGTTTGTAAAAAATGGGTTTTAAAAATATTTGTTTAAAAGAAAAAAGCCAGGATTTTTGCAAATTCTTCTTGTACTAAAATAGTAAAAAGTGGTAGATAAAAAAATAGAACGAAGTAGAGTTTGTAAAATATCGTCTTTTCTTATTGTATTTCTTCTATAGGCACAATAAAGAGTTTATAAATAAGAATAAATAAATAACACTGGACAATTAAAACAGCGCCACTTAGTCCCAAGTTAAGTTACCTAAAGCTTGTGTTATGAGTACTAGATGACTGATAAATATATACACATATTTTTTCGTAAATACATACATAATATACATAGAAAACACCCAGACTGATACAAACAATCATACTCATGAATACAAATGTTTGTGCCGTGCGAGGAATCGAACCCACTACCATCGGAAGCAAGGCGGTGTATTGAAGTTTGTATAAAATTAAAATGTAAAAATATATGTTACAATATTAATGTTACGATGTGTTGGACATGAGAGCTAATAATAACAAATTCTTGGGAAGTCCTACTGACAGATTCTCTATTTTTACAATGGAATGCGACTAACTGATTGATTATCTCCAAGCAAGTAGCCATAAATATATAATTGAATAATATATTTATTAAATGAAATCTATATATTTTATACTAGCTACATACTCGCCTCGGATTCGCACGGGTGTACATGTATTATATATATAAACTTTGCTCTTGAATCACTAATCTAAAAAAATCGCATCATAATTCGTTGCGTAGTAGAATAAGATTTATACATATATAGGGTGGGACAGACAGCGAGAGCGACTTTGTTTTATACTATGTAATGATAATAATTATAATATACGGAGCTTACATTGGTAATTTAAATCTTAATTAATGTTATAAACGCGAAAGATTGTGAGTATGGATGGATGTTTGTTATTCTTTCACGCAAAAACTACTGAACGGATTTTGATGAAACTTTCAGTAATATACTCTAGGTATTATAGATACTCTAGGGTGGTGCGACCATAACAGCAATACAGTGAACACCCAAGAGGAAAAGGGATAGATATAAAGTTGTGAATCTAAGAAATATGACAAAATCAGTAGATAGACGGCGATAACATATGTAACACTAGCTGTGCCCGCGGTTTCGCGCGCATGTTTTTATAGCTTATATGTTATTCTGATGTATAAGCTAATTATTAAATAAGTATTGTTAAATAATTTAATAATTCTGATGTGTAAGTTTTTTTTTAATTGAGGGTTTTGGGTTATTGTCAGGCTGTTAGACCTGTACCACTCCGACCTAGAACATAGATATATTTTGCTCTTTTTCAAAGTCAAGTCAGTGTTTAGAATCGTCAGGGAGAATAATTGAAGATTTCTATATAAAGATTCTATATTTTTAGGAACAATGGTATTTATCTCCTCAGGATAGAGTGTACTTTCCAAAGGAGATATTTCGTTTATGCATGAGCGGGCTACAACCACATAGGATGTGCAGTGGCGTTTCTTCAGCATGGTAAAATCTGTAGATTTTCGGAAGAGAGAATCTGAAATAAACTGCTGTGCTAATTTGTTAGAAAGTTACAGAGTACGAAATGGAGATGAAAATATGCAACTAGTTGGCTTATATTATCACATCCATCACGATATGAAGACAAAGTTGCGGGTAGTAACTAAATAAATAAATCACCCTGGACAATTAACACAGCGTCATCTAGTCCCACGGCGAGCAGAGCTTGTGTTATGGGTCTAGTGACAACTGATAGATATAAATATTTTTTTTGTTAATCATCATCATCATCATCATCGCAGCCCGGAAGACGTCCACTGCTGGACATAGGCCTCCCCCAAAGATCTCCACGACGATCGGTCCTGCGCTGCTCGCATCCAATGCCTTCCAGCGATCTTGACCAGATTGTCGGTCCACCTTGCTGGAGGCCTTCCCACGCTGCGTTTTCCGGTCCGTTGTCGCCACTCGAGGACATTACTGCCCCAACGGCCATCTGTCCTGTGTTTTTGTTAATACATTCATAATATGTATATAACAAACAATCATACTCATGAATACAAATGTTTGCACCGTGCGAGGAATCGAACCCGCGTCCACCAAAAGTAATGCGGTGCACTTAACCGCTAGACTACCGAGGTCGTCAAAGTTATTCTTATAATAATTCCGTTTCATCATATGATGCATCTAAATCATGCATCCCTAAACACCTGGACCCATTATTCCGCTCCAAATCTTTCAGCAGACCATTTCGGCCCATAACAACAGTAATAAAGCTGGTCTTTTGGCTATAAAAAATCTGACCCCTCATGTGTCTTCATTAAGATATACAGGAACAAATGTTCTATAATGCTTAGCCGTTGTGACCACACGTTGTCAACGATAAAGGCTGTCCTGAGAGTTGATAAAGACTGTCCCACATAGGGTTAATATTGTAACAACAGAATATATATACTATACTTTTTTAAATTTGAAGCGTTTACTAATATTATAAATGTGAAAGTAACTCTGTCTGTCTGTCTGTCTCGCTTTCATGCCAAAACTACTGAACCGATTTAAATAACATTTGGGATACATATAGTCTAGACCCTGAGAAAGGACATAGGCTACTTTATAACGTGAAGAAAGGGTTGTAAGTGGTTGAAAGTAGAGATGAAACGTTCTATGGAAATATCGTCATTTTTAAAGCTAGAAGCTTGAAACTTATTTTTTATGTTTTCGACTATCAATATGATATTCAAAGTTTGTACGAATTTTACCCTTAAGGGAGTAAAATGAAATAGGGGATGAAATGGAAATTACTTATTAGTCCTCTATTTCTTGCGAACGAAGTCGCGGGCACAGCTAGTTAAGATATACAAAAACAAATGTTCTATAATGCTTAGCCGTTGTGACCACACGTTGTCAACGATAAAGGCTGTCCTGAGAGTTGATAAAAGCTGTCCCACAAAGAGATAATATTGCAACAACAGAATAAATCTACCTATATACTGTTTAGTATTTATGATTATAATTAGGAAAATAATGGGCTCTTATCACGTTCTATTTAGTAACAATAATTACTACCAGCTGCTCTTCAGTTTACCCGTAATCATGGCGTTTTTTTTTAATATCTCAGGACAATTCACACATCGACATCTAGTCCCAAGCCAAGCATATCTTGTGTTATGGGTACTAGCCAATTGATATAAATATATGGATACATTTTTTTGTAAATAAATACATATTATATACATAGAAAACACCTAGACCGATACTAACAATCATACTCATGAATACAAATGTTTGTACCGTGCGAGGAATCGAACCCATGATCAACGGATAGTAAAGCGGTGTGCTAAACCACTAGACCACCGAGGCTTGAAACACTGTCGAAATATTGGGAAGAATTTAACATGTTGGAAGAATAAAACAATAAAACACTCAATAAAAGAAATAAAACATGGTTAAAAATCACGGGATGATGTTTTCTAATTTTATCTAAAAAAAATTAATCGTGAACCTCTGTTTTTAAATAATATTATTAAATACAGAATAAAATTTACACTAACTTTCTAAAAAAACACTAATACATAAAAAATAATTAGTTTTTAGCGTAGGTAAACGTTTAAAATCAATAATAAGCTATAAGCTGTAAAGCACCCACGCTACTTGTTCTAGTCGAATAAATTGCTCCTTAATAACTTCCTTTTCAAGAGAAATAGTAGTTAAATAATAAATCAAAAGGAATAGTAGACAAATGAAACCGATTTTATCAATATTATAATTACTTCTATTGTCTTTTGAATTAAAAGAGGAAAAGACGTGTTCTGTAGTTTAGTGTTGGGTGAGATTATTGAATATTTTTTCTTTATATGCGATTTATACACAATAACGCGGCGAGCGGACGAAGTGTAGGGCTCAGCTAATCGCTCATATATGCTCTACGTGACCGGCCCACTTCCAAGTGTTATACAGTGTTTCAAAGCGTCTATAACCTTCGTTGTTTCTTTTATATAAATTTTCTTTTTAAATTTAAAATACTACGTTCCATTTTTGAAATGTCTGTAATTTTATTTGGAAATATAAATTGACAAATATTTTTATTTGTTGTCGGCCAGTAGATACGGACATAGAAAATTCTTTATTAAAAAAAGCAATTTTGAATTTCGAACTCACGAACTTTAGCATCTTTGTCGTGGTAGTAAACCAAGCCATTACGATGTCTGAAAATAGATATATCCCTGGAATTAACATATACCTAATATATTATAGTTTGCTCACATAGTACAAC